CGCAAGTATGTCTTAGATATACTTGGTGATACTGGGTATGAAGGCACTCGGCCGTGTTCCTCCCCAATCGAGCAAAATCATAAGCTCGGGAAGGACCCCTCCTCTCCTATCGCCGATCCCTCAGCCTTCCGACGTCTCGTGGGACGTCTACTGTATCTCACGGTAACACGCCCAGACATCACCTATCCAGTCAATCTCCTCAGCCAAGCAGTACATGCACCTACACAGGCGCACCTTGATGCAGCGCATCGCGTACTTCGTTACCTAAAGCAGTCACCTGGTCGTGGCCTTTTCTTCCGTGCAGATAGTTCCCTGGAGCTTGTCGCACATTGCGATGCCGACTGGGCAGGGTGCCCCCTGACGCGACGATCCACCACCGGATATTTTATTCAGTTAGGTGGTTCCCCGATTTCTTGGCGTACCAAGAAACAGTCCGTCGTTGCTCGATCCTCTGCAGAAGCTGAGTACAGAGCCATGGCCAGCACTGTTAGTGAGTTACTCTGGCTTCGTTGGCTACTGTCAGATCTCGGTGTTCCTCAATCACGGCCTACTCGCCTATACTGCGACAATCAAGCTGCACTTCACATTGCTGCTAATCCAGTTTTTCATGCACGTACTAAGCATGTGGAGATGGACTGCTATTTTGTCCGCGAACGAGTCATTTCACGTGACATAGAGCCTCTCAAGGTAGCCTCTGCCGAGCAGCCAGCTGATCTCTTCACCAAAGGCCTCAGCATCGACCAATTCACCTATCTCTTGTCCAAGCTTGGCATGATCGACATCCATGCTCTCGCTTGAGAGGGAGTGTAGAATGTCACGTAGTCACAGGGCTGGATGATGATTGTCGACGTCCATGTCCTTGTAGGAGTTGTATCTCCTCTCGTCTCTTTTTCCTTTACATAGCCGACAAGGCAAGTCTCTCCATGTATAAATAGCAAGCTAAGCTTGCTGGGATCATAGTTCGTCATCAATAAAATCAAGTCATAGTCGAGAGCTCCTTCGAGCTCTCCGTGGATTAGTCCTGTTCACATCGAACAGGGATACCACGTAAAATCCTCGTCTTGTGTGATTATTCCATTCTCTTTTTTGTCGATTTTATCAAGTTTTCTCCTACAGTTACATTCAGTGCTTAAGTAATTGTTTTATAGATATAAGTATATAACCCTCATGGTCATGGATTCAAAAAAATTACTCATTAAACTATTTTCTTAATGATAATGGCATGGTTTTGATCTGTCGATGAGACTAATTTCCTGGCTTCTAGAATAGATAATTACTGTTAATTGTAGGAATTGATATATGTTATTTTTTTTTTACTTAGTAATTAGGAGTGATTATGTGCAGGTCGAGGTGGGTATCTCGATACCCATAATTATTCCGCGGCAAGTTGAGTAACATGGGTGCGAGTGGCCGACATGTCGACTCACATGTGTACAAATTTAAAAGGAAAATAACAAACTATAACACGATACATGTATTTAATTTTTTTTAGGAATTAACATCTCACCTATTCACAACTTTATTAAAACTAAAATATGAGTTAATAAAGTAAAATCCTAAACAAGTTGAGTAATTACATGTAATTTAGACAAAAACAATTGGAAAATAAGAGAGATGAGAGCATATCAGATCGAGGAGAGTAGTTTCTCTAGGGATGACAATGGGGCGGGTTTGTCTAAATCATCCACATCCCCGTTTTAAATATTTAAATCCTTACCCGCCCCATACCCATGCGGTTCGTAAGCTTGTCCTGTATCCGTGAGTTTCGGATACCCGTGGGTGATACCCCTGGTACATCCAACATTATTGTACCTAAGAATTTATATATAAATTTTCAATTATAACAATGATGGATCTACCATATCATGAAGTCAACAAAAATACAATCATTCTTGATACGGTTCAAATTATATGATCCTAAAACATCCATTAATCCATAAGATAAAATATCATATTTTTTAATTCATTATTCTCTAACTCCTATACATCTACTAAGTAATAATTAACTAACATAATTATCTTGTTAACTAGAGGGAAAAGTGAAAGAATGAAGGGCGAATTGAAGAAAAATAATTCAGTGTTGATTTGGATGACCACTCAATTGTCTTTCTATTATTTATTTATCTTCATTATCATTGATAGATTACAATTTGATCAATGTATTATTTATATGTAAAGAAATGTATTTGATGGGGTACTCGCGATCAATGGTTTAATGTCATCCCTAACTGCCTCGCCTCGAATGGTATTACCGATCCAAAAAATAAATAAAAAATTGGATAAAATGAGCGAGGTGGAAATTTTGTCTCTATCTTAAGTTAATTATTTTTAGATATTTTTTGATGCTGGGAGGTTCGCATCATGTAACATTGGTTCAATATGGCTTTACTACGTGAAAATGGAGTAGAGTTTGTACTTTGTAGTTTACTAGTTTTTCATAAAGGGAGTAGAATTTAATTTGTGGTTGCGTTGGGAAAGAGGTCAGTTGAGTTAGGTCAACTAATGCATAGGCTAATTAGTTGACGGAAGATCCTGGCGTTTTTTGTTTAATATCGATTTGTACGCTTTCTGTATCTGTCTCTTGCCGCCCAGCCACTCTAGCGGTTTCGTTTAGGGGGTGTTCAAACGGATTGGTTATCGTAGAAATCATATTAATCGGAAGTATTCAGTTAATTTGGATAATTGGTTTGGTTTGGTTAAACAATTTAGCTTGTTTGGTTTAGGTGGTTTGGTTTGGTTTCAACACTGCTAACCAATGAAACCAATTAACCAATTAATGATACACCTAATATACAAAATTATTTATACTTCCATGCAACCAACCAAACCAAACTTTCGTGATTCCCTATTTTATTTCTATGTGCACAACAAACCAAAGCATTATGAGTCGAAAATTAAATGGGTCTGCCTATTTACTAAACCAAAACATTTTGGACAGCTACTAGACTTTAGGATTGCGTACAGCCACCTCAAACTATGTATAGTTTAAGTATTTTGTATGAGAGCTTTAACTTCCTGTTGAGTGGTATTGGTATGTATTTCATATTTATGTTAAGGGTTTGTTGTTAGCTAACTATATTAGGTGTAGAGATGATGAATGATGTATTAACTCGAATGATGATGATAATCGTGGATGGTTAGTCTTATTATTATTGCTTATATATAATGATAGTTTATGATAGTAATAACATATGGTTATGTTTTATTCATTAACAGGATAATTGTTTTCATGTAATGTTATGTTATTTGGTTAATCCGATTATCCGATTAACCAAACCAATTAAACTTTGGTTTGGTTAATTTGGTTTTCGTGTTAATTTGGACGGTTTGGTTAAGATATTTTCTTTCATGGTTAATGAAATTTAGACTTAATTGGTTTGGTTATTACCACAGTAACCATTTGAACACCCCTAGTTTCGTTCGCATCGGATTTTATCATACCAAATTGATATTTGGATCGGTTCATGTGCAGGGGCCAGGGGCGGAGGAAGAGGGTTAGAAGGTGGGTTTCGGGACCCATCCTCGCTCGGGAGAGAAAATGATAAATTAGATATAATAGTTAATAGGGTATGAAAATAACACGTATTTAAGTGAGAATGGTTGATCTTTCAAATATTTGATGTATAATTTTTAAGTTGAGTATTAGCATATTCAATGTTTTTATAACGAGCTACTTACAAATGACAATGGTGCATATGATCCGCCCAAAATTAAAGATGTACTTATTCAGTATATATATACAACAAATTTCCACCAAATCATAGCTAAATTGTAAAACTAATTTTATTTCGATCAGGTGTAGGGAGTGTGTAACAGGTGACTCCTTCTTTGTTTCCGAATTTGCAAAAACTTTAAGCACCTATAAGTTGGTTTTGGTTACCGGAAAAGTATTAGTAAATATTAAATAGTATGAGATCCATTACTAGATCTTTCCCAACAACTCGAGTTATTGATACTAAACAGTTTTGACAAAGAACACTAGTCAAAAGCAAATGTTGAACTAAATCATAAATAATTGTTTGATACATGTAGAGTGATATTCTTCATAGTTTCGACATATATTTAATTTATCAAGTTTTTGTAAATACAAAATTACATCATGAATGATTTAAAAAGCTAAGACCACATACAATGTGGGAGGGAAAGAAGGGTGGGAAAATAGGGAAACGATTGTGGAGGGAAGGGTTTGGTCACAATGTGAGGGTGAAAAATGGGGTAAATGGTTGAACATCTTTTTGGTAAAATCAATCTATAGTTGATTTCGTCACTTTATTTTGATATAATGATCATTATTTTTACATAGGCAGTAATAATTTTTTTATAATGATGATGAACTTGAATTAAACGAAAGAAACCTGAAGAAGGTTTAGATATAGAGATCCCACAAGGAGTGGGAAAAGGAAAAACGGAAGGAAAAAGCAAGAACAGACTCTCAGACAAGAAAAGAGTGATAATTAATTAATACAAACATTTTTTTTTATTTGGACATAATTCATTTCATTGCTAATAAAACATGACATTATCAATGACGAAATCAAAATAATACGTGATGGCCATGAATCATCACATGTTTTATAGAATGAGTGTTGCCATCAATTAGTTTGCCAACTTTAATCATATTGAGTGGTAAAATCAATTGTTCATGCAGCTTTAATCAGAATGACATGTGTTATCAACTGTTTATACAACTGTAATCATATTGAGGTGTGTCATCAACTGTTCATCCAGTTTGTCAATATTTGCTGGAAAATATTTTCATGGATTCGAACCAACTTCTGTTTTTACGGTCCAAGATTGGTGTTGTTGATTACTCCTTCATCTTGCGTGGCATGATAAGACTACGATGACTCTATCTCTTGGAAATTCCCACTGCCATAAAAAGATACATTCATCAATTAGATTCATGAATATGAATTTATGTGTACTTTAGAACAGGTGATAAGATGAATGTTCAAGCTAAGTTGCATACTTCAGTTGGAATGGTGTTGGGTGACTAGGGAGTAGCAGGGATTTTATTGTATGTACAAATGATACACAGATTGATATGTCCAATTGACAAAGATGATTGAAATGTATGTACAAATTGACAGTAGCAGCAGCATTTCAGGGCTGCAGTTCTACAACAATATCAAAGCCCGGCAAAGATATCAGCAGGCTTTTGATGGTGCAGCTGAAGTTAACAATCCAAATTATACAATCATAATTTACATATGATACAACATTGTAAGGGCAAAGAAGAGGCCAGGCCGCCGAGTTCTGCTTCAAGGATCAGCTTGCCCAGCCATCTCATCATCGGACATGTACTCATCTTCACTCAATTCCTCATCACTCTCCTTTTCCTCTGCCGTTGCTCCAGCATCCTCTGGCTTTGCATATTTCTGACAGTATTCTGCCAGTTGACAGTTCACGAGTCAAGAAAGGAAATGAGCACCATATCGTAAATCAAACTCGTGAATCAAACCAAATCAAGGTATAGACCTTTGCCGGAGCTCATTTTTTGAAGCCATCTCTTTTGTCCACAAAATGGCCTTAAAGCTATGTTTCAGATATTTTTTAGGGGAGCGACATCTAGTTATGGCTACTTAATCAGCAGGATTGGTGTAAGCAATAGATACAAAACGGGGGATAGCAATTCTTAGTACCTTAAAATAGCAACTCAGGTTATCAACCAGAAACAGGCATGGTAGATAAAACGAAGAATCACAGAGAAACCAAACCTTTAACTCTGAGTTCATAGGCTGAGCGGTCGCGCATCATGAGAGCAGCAGCCTCACCGTTCAACGGATCCGATGGGTTAGGATATAAGAGAAGTTGTGGAAGAAACACTTCAAACACATTCACCAAATCTACCAAAGATAGAAGTTCCATACGTCAGACCAGAGCTTTTATGTTCTCAAAAGCATAGAAAGAAAGCCTGCATTACAAAAAAAAAACCCGGTAACTAACAGAGGCTTTTTACCAAACATGGGGCTCCAAGTTTGATTTATGACATCCAAACAAACTGAGCCACACCTGCAATGAACAAACAGTTCAGTACCACCACCATCCCACAGAGATGGTCAGTATCACAAGCTGCTCGTAAAGTAATGAAAAGGAACTCACATGGAAATGTTAAAAAGTTTCAGCACAGAGAAGAGGAAAGACTCACATTTCATCAACATTAGGGTGGTAGATCCTGTTGATGAAACCTATTGACGGGGATTTGTAGGGGTAAGCATCCGGCAGCTCGACTCGAATTCTCCACACTCCACCATCGTATGGACCTTGCAGTATAAACCCATTACACCAAAAGAGGATATCATATATATCAGTATAAAACTGGGATTTCCACAAAAGGGTCAAGAAACACCAGTAAGAAAGGTGAACGAACAGCTGAAACCTAGTACAACAAGAACAATCTGAGGCCTAATTATTGTCAATTGGGCTATAAGAACCCACAAAAAAAAGCCAATGGAACCTGAAACTATGTTGTTCCCACATCTCCATATCATCCCCCATAGAGTCAGCAAATATGAAGCCGAAAATTAACACAGCCCCAGAAAAGACTAGAGAATAAGGAAGGTGCCGATGGTAAGGATAATTACTGTCACTGGGTCCATGGAAATGAACATAGAATTCTTGCATCCCATCATTGATCAGCTCTACCTTGTAATCACTCATCATCCTGTTAACCCAAAAGAAAAAGACAACCGTTTCCGATCAGGAAGAAAAAGCCATGAAAGAGTGATGAAGTACAGATAAAAGGGAACTAGTGAAACAAAGTAAGGAACCCGAAAGGAAATCAAACAATTGAAGGGGGAAATGGGTTAGGTAATAACAATTTCATCAAGTCCATCTCTCTGCGTTTGCTCGGGGACGACATGGTTTTCTTCTTCTTCTTCTTCTTCTTCTTCTAATCCTTGACAACTCAATTGCTATTTCTGCGTCTGCTGCTTCCAGAGAGAGAGAGAATTGGAGTTTACAAGGAGAAATAGCGGGTGAAGGTTGCTTGTGGGCTGTGGCACTGCGAAGAAGGGAACAAAAAGATTCCGGAAATGAAAAATGATGAGATTAGTCCTTAATATTATTATATTAACAATAATGGTCTTGATTATTTGTAACGCTCTAATTTGGCCAGACACTAGTTTTAAGTTTTTAACAAAATGCTACTCTTGTCTTGACAAGTAGTGAATATTAAAAAATTGAACAACAGTGAAAATGTCGTATCAAATAATACAGTAGACAAAAAGTCAACATAGTTTGAAATTTCTTGACGTAATAAATACCCATCGTAAAATCACATCAAGTCTCTCATCCTGCTAAAATACCGAATTAAACTCATCAGACTGGAAGTTCTCTGGAGCCGGAAGTCATTCGGTTGTCATATCTTACAGTAATTAAATTTCTGGAAGTGTACATGGTTCTCCTGCAACTCCTGAGTGCGGATGTTGGAGTCAGTCCTTATACTAGTTTCGCTTTAATGCTGGAAAAACTCAGAACAACATGCTTGAATAAATAAATATGCTCGTACAATGGTTAGTACATGATTCGTGCTGTTTCGTGTAAAAGGGGCCCCGAACTCGACTCAACTAGCACACCAACCGACACCATACTTATATTATATGTGAGCTTCCACCTAATGGAAAGACATTCTCACAATCATTAAACTTCCACCTAGTGGAAAGTAAAGTAATCGCGTACTGTCTACGCAACTGAATGGTACCAACATAACTTATCATAAACATAAATTTCCACGTCAGCAGAGCACGCTGATTCAATAACGTCAGCGTAGCTGATTTTTTAACTTTATTAAATTATCAATATATTAAAAACTGCGTACGTGACATCCACGTCAGCAGAGCATGCTTATTCATTAACAATCAACATCGTTGACTATTTAATTTGACAGAAATTCACGATACTACACCGTTTGATTGATTATGCTTTACTTGATTAAATATAGTAGCTATTAAGTCGTGTGTTTTATGGTACACTATTGTTGTATAATGGATAAGCTAACCAGAATTAAATTTTGTTCTCAAATTGTATAAATATTGATATGATGCTATGCATCATAATTATAGTTAAAATGAATGACATGAAAGAGCGTGTTTGCGTGCGCGTGCACACACATATATAAAAAAATTACTCAGTTATTTATAATAACCTTTATTTCAAAGTAATACAGTACAAATAGAAGGGGAAAATCCTCTCATCCCATAATAGTAGCTGCGCTATATTCCCAGTGTATCCATGTGAAGGAAAATCTCAATAGATTTCCACGTTGACTATATTTTAACGAATCAACAAACGATAACCCAAATGAAGACTCGGTCAACTGTCTCTCTATCTCTCTTATTTCTTGCAATTCTATTCATTCTGAATTCCTTTCTCATGGTCTTCCATGTTTATAGGTTGTTGCTTGTCCGTCGCCCATAATTCCATGCCAAAAAAAAAAAACCAAAGAAAAACCCTTCCCCCTCCTCTTTTCAACATATCTAGAAGTTGCTTCCCAAAATTCTACCAAAAAAATTGCCATCCCATGTAACCTAACACAAAAAGGAAGAACCAAGAGAAAGGAACAAGGGGTTGAATCTCATTGCCGCAAACATTGCGAATACTAAGGAAAATGGCGCCCATGGTGCAGGGCAGAGCAGCACTTCTTCATCATCGTCACCATCATCTACTAATAAGTCTTCCCCGAAGCAAAACCCACCACCACCCATGGCTGTTTTACATTCGGGAATGTCCCCTTTGTTGATTGAAACTGCCCCTCGAAGCACTGATCCGCCATCATCAACAGACGATGGCGGAGTTGGTGGCTTCGAGATGACAGAGCTCCACCATGCTCCCTCCAAGTTGGTCCTGGATGAGTGTGGAGATTACCCTCCCGTGCGGAACTTTCAAGATGCCAAAACCATATGTGTTATGGAGTCATCCAAGTTGTGGGGGATTGCAGGTCCTATTGCATTCAACATCCTCTGCAATTATGGGGTCAATTCCTTTACCAATATATTTGTTGGACACATTGGGGACGTTGAGCTCTCTGCTGTTGCCATTTCCCTCTCTGTTATTGCAAACTTCTCTTTCGGCTTCTTGGTTAGCTTGCCTTCCTTCTTTCAACCCCTCAATTCCTGAATCTTTACTTGTTTTTTTTCTTTCTTTCTTTTCTTTTCCTCAATAGTGTTTTTGTAACACTTTGGGCGAATCCCACATAGACAAAGCACGGAAGAGATCCATGGTTCATAAGTAAGAAACCGGCCTTAACTGACAAGACGCGTTTTGGGGTGTAATGGAGGAGTTCTTGTGAGAACTCCGAAGTTAAACGTGCTCACAAGGATGAGTGACCTTATGGGAAGTCACCCTGAATTGCACCCCCAAGCACGAAAACCGTGTGCGGGTGTCGAGGCCCAAAGCGGACAAGTATCTTGTCGGGAAAAAGGTTCGGGATGTTACAGTTTTGCTAACCATTTTTTTTTTTTTTTTTTTTGTAGCTTGGAATGGGAAGTGCATTGGAGACACTCTGCGGGCAAGCTTTCGGCGCAGGGCAAGTTGAATTGCTCGGGGTATACATGCAACGATCATGGCTCATCTTGCTTGGTGCTTGCTTCTTCTTGCTGCCGCTTTACCTCTACGCCACGGAAATCCTGAAGCTCCTCGGAATCGAGCCCGACATCGCTGAACTGGCCGGCAGATTCACCATTCAGGTCATCCCCCAGATGTTCTCTCTGGCCCTCAACTTCCCTACCCAGAAATTTCTGCAGGCGCAGAGCAACGTTGGGTTCTTGGCGTGGATTGGTTTTGTGACTTTCGTCATCCACATAGTTCTGCTCTACTTCTTCATCTACATCTTCAAATGGGGGCTGACTGGCGCTGCTGTGGCTTACGACATCTCGGCTTGGGGATTGGCTCTGGCTCAGGTGGTTTACATCGTTGGATGGTGCAAGGAAGGCTGGAGAGGGCTGTCCTGGTTAGCGTTTAAGGACCTCTGGGGTTTCTTCAAACTCTCCATAGCTTCAGCTGTGATGATTTGTTTGGAGATTTGGTATTTCATGACCTTAATTGTGCTTACTGGACACCTTGAAGATCCTATCATCGCAGTTGGGTCTCTTTCTATATGGTAAGAAATGATTTGTTTGAAGACCCCATTCTCTCTTCTCAGTAGTATTAACAAGGCATTTTGGTGTTGTCTATCGCTGATTTGGGGTTGTTTTGGATGGATCAATCTAGAAATGAGTCAATCTTATCAATTGTCTCGTTTTTATAAACGAGACAATTAAAACGAGTCGATTCGAATTACCTGCCCCCACCCCCAGGTAATTAAAATTGACTCAAAACTCGGATCGATTCAAAATTATCTCAGGAAGATTGATCCATCCAAAAATTTTTTGCTGGCAAACGAGACAATTGTGTCGAATTGATCCGTTACAATTTCCTCCCCCAAACGACGAACCCTTGGTTATTTTTCATTCTCTTTCTATTGTTACAGCATGAACATTAATGGATGGGAAGGGATGCTCTTCATCGGGATCAATGCGGCCATAAGGTCTCAATTCCTTGTTTGATTCTTCCATATGCAGTTTTTTTTCTGCTACAAATTTTTCTGATTTTTTTCTTCTTCTTCTCAGTGTTAGGGTCTCAAATGAGCTTGGATCAGGACATCCTAGAGCAACCAAGTACTCTGTAATAGTAACCTGCACGGAGTCTCTCCTCATAGGAATATTTAGCGCGGGAGTAATTCTAGCAACTAGAGAAGATTTTGCTGTCATTTTCACTGACAGCAATGAGATGAAGAAAGCAGTAGCTGACTTGGCTTATCTTTTAGGGATAACAATGATCCTGAACAGCATCCAACCTGTCATCTCAGGTACTATAAATTAATTTTTTTGGAATAGTGATTTTGTTTGGAATGGGGCAAGTTAAAAAAAATGGCTCACAATTTGATTCCAGGATGGTTGGTTGCATTTTTATTTTATTTTGGCTCAGGGGTTGCTGTTGGAGGAGGGTGGCAAGCTTTAGTGGCTTATATAAACTTGTTTTGTTACTATGCTGTTGGTTTGCCTCTTGGTTTTTTCCTTGGTTACAAAACAAGTATGCATGTGAAGGTAATTCTGTTTTGCTTCTTTTATGGTTATGAAGGTATTCTTTTATTGAGATATGTAAATAATAAATTTATAGATTGATATTTTTTCTTTAACATATTTGGTGGATGTTGAACAGGGGATTTGGCTGGGGATGATTTTTGGGACATTTTTACAGACATTAATTCTTATTTGCATTATCTGCAAAACCAATTGGAACAAGGAGGTAAAAGAAAATCTTAGCTGTTTATTTTACCTTTTTTTTTTGTAAATGCCTTTATTTAAATATATTGAGACATGTAGAATTCATCAACTTTTGCTCTAGGTTGAACAAGCATCAGAAAGAATGAAGCAATGGGGAGCGGGAAATGACTCAATGCTACCCACTTCTGATACTAGATAATAGGCCCTTGAAGATTTAGACACTCTCATAGTGATTTCTTTTGGTCTAAAAGAAGGAAAAAATGAAAAATAAGGATGAGAAGGAAACTTAGAATTTCATAGCACCTTTTGACTTAAAAAAAAAACTGGCTTCTTCTTTCGTGTTTGAGTAAAAAGAGGAAGAAAAAAGTTGTACAGTTATATAAATTGGGTTTTAAGTTCATTTGTTTAGTGAGTTTCATGGAATGTGGGTAACTTTATATTTTAAGGTTTCAGATTGGATGAAACTCCTTTGTTTACCTACAACCTAATATTTGTGGGAAACAAGAGACTATTCTTGTAGTTTGGCAGTGTACATATATGTAATTTAACTCTATAAGTATCATGTATTGTAAGCCTAGGATTTATATTCTCCTCACATGATACAATTTTCTGATTCTTCTTTTATACGAAAAGAAATGCTATGATCTTCTACATGGACATAAGTTATATATGTTGTTTAACCGTTTTAATTTTGTCTTCCAAATAAAAAACAACGAATCCTTACCCTTTTATTATTTTATTCCGCTTCGTCTCACGTCAATAAGTCCATAAAAAAGCATTCTTCTAACATTTATTTTTCAACAACCCATTGAACTGGTAACATGTCGCCATGGAGAACACCTCATCCAATCTAATCCTATTTCCTTATAATGGAAAGGAAAGAAATCTTTGTCTCTCACATTTCAATTTCATTTAATCCATGAATCCACCATACATCCAATTCATGAATCCACCAATTCATTTAATCCAACCATGATTCCACCAAATCACCAATTCAATCCACTAATCCGTGAATCCAATCCATTTTTCATCTCTACTTGAACATAAATCATTTCATCGATGTTGAACACATGAAACTCATCCTCATGCCTCCACACAAAAACCTTATGCGTTACTTATCCTACTCAATTTGAAGTTCTTTGGACCTCAAGAGCTCTTCTTTGGAAGTCACATAAAAACAAGGTTCAAAAGGCGTTAGGCGGGAGTCGGGGTCCTACTTGGCGCCTAGCTCGTCCAGGGGTGCATAGGTGTTGAAAGTAAAAATAGTAATTTGTACTGAATGGAATAAAATTTTACAACAATGTCACACTACATTTCAAATGATTAATAATTTATTTAACACTTAACCACTCTTAAAATAGAACACAAGTTTATAGAATCATAGTGTAATAGCTCATGAAGTTATTGAGCTATTGAAAATATTGATATAGAAGATTGAGTTTGTAAATGTTGTTAAATTTCCCCTTTGATATTGACTCTCTAGATTTATCTAATTATATCTTAGCAAATTTTGGTGCTCTCAAATTTTTGGTGTTCTAAAATTTTTATGCTTTCAAAATATGAGCACGGGATTTTAATGCGGGAATAATCATGAATTTTGAAGTAGTAAATTATTAAATTTAAAATGGAATAACTTGATATATTTTAGAATATAATAATTCTTGTGATTAATGTTTTTACTATGTTGGATATAGTAGGTTTGGGAACATGTAACACCCCGCGAGTTTGGGTTTTGGGTTCGATTAAGGTTCGACCGAAAGTTTGAAGATGGTTGGATGAAAAAGGACGACGAAGAAAGCAAAACATGCTAGAATACGGTTGGGAACACGACCGTGTTCCATTAGACGCTCGTTTTGGGATAGAGATAAGTTGAACGAGTCATTTTGGAGGAATTGGGGAATGAAGCGTAACACGGCGTTAACACGACTGTGTTGCGTGGCAATGTCACTCGGGCATTTTCAACAATGAGGAACTTCTAAGGACGTATGGAACGGGTATGACGATTGGGGGCAACACGGGTTCGAACACGATCGTGTCCCGTGCCCATGTTTGAACTGGTATAAATAACTTAACTGGTAGTTTTCTGTCCATTTAATCCACACTATAATTTCTCAAAACCCACCCCAAATGCTTTGAATGAGCAGAAGACGAAGGAGAGGAGCGAAAGGAGGGAGGAAGAAACCGGCGATTAGCTTACCCGTTTGTCGGCTAGCCGTAAAACCGATAGAATTCTCCCAATCTCGTCACCTTTCTCGACCATTTGGACGTTCAAATATCTTAGGAACGTAATAATATTAAACTGTGGTCGTTCTACGTCTGTTTGACCGATTGGATTAACCATGGATCGTTAATTCATAAATGGTAGATTTGCGATAAAGGATTTGGGGTGTTAATCGAGATTACACGAGGAGAGCAGATGCCTCAACCGTGAAGATGTCGACAGGATCGTGGTAATGAGATGAGACCCTTTGTTATATCTGTCTTCATTTCATGTTTTGTCTGAGACTCTGAGTATACCGGAAACTCAGGGATTGTGTTTTAATTGTTTTGGATTGAGGTTGGCCAAGTGTTATGGCCTTTCATTTGGGATTTTTAAAGTGTTGTCATTTGTTGGGTTACCATTTTGACTTTTCAATGCGGGTTGGGTTACTCTAGAGTAACCAATTTGGTTGATTTATCGTTTTCTTTAAGTCAAAAGGGTCGGGTGTTTCAGAACATATCATGTATCATCTTATCTCGATAACATTACCCGAATATCTCAAATGCATGTTATTTCACATTATAGATCATATACTTAATTACTTACCAATTTGATTATCAAATCTTTACACATGATGTTTTAAGAATTTAGCATTTAGTAACTAAGACATTGTCTATAGTAAACTTATTATAGCCTTATAGGTCATGATTAATTGGCTATAGAAGATTTGAGAACCTATCAAGAGTCATCTTATAACAATAACGTAACCTGAGCTATCTCAAATGCAAACTATTTCACATTATAGTTCATATACTTAATTATTTACAATTTGATTATCACATTTTTCACAAATGATGGTGTAAGAGTTAAGCATTTAGTAACCAAGACAATGTATATAGTATAGCTTATTGTAGTCTTAGAGAGGATGGCTAATTGACTAAAGTAGATTAGTGTAATAACAAATATATAATAAGTAAGTAACCCGGTGGGTTGACTCGAATAACTTACAACTCGACAATCGACATGTCTGTAATCGTAACAACCTGCAACTCGATTGACCCGTAACCCAACCGACCCGTAACCCGAACAACTCGCGACCTGATTGACCAGGAACCCAATTAACCCTCAAATTGAATGACTCACAACATGATGAACTCGACTAACCCGCAACCTGATAAACTCAAACCCGACTAACCCACAAACCAATTCAATCCAACATGAACCTGCTTGATTGACACCTCTACTAATTTGTCTCATCATACTAAAGACATGACATGCAAATCATGTATTTCAAGAGTGTTGAAGGAGTCCACATATGAGGAGCTGGGAAAATTCATTCTACTCCTTTAGTACCATTGGAAAGAAAGATTTTCCTCTTCAATAACAAAATTTTCAAGAAATGGGAAGTCTTCTCAAAATTTGATAACTTCATCCATCAATTTGTTGAGATTCAAGACAAAGAGTGATGCATATGACACTTTGTATCTAATATTTATCTCTCCATTTCAATTCCAACAATGGTTATTCTGGTATCAAATTCCTTCCTATTCGGTTTTATGTGTGTTTGAACCCCACTTGGACCATTTTGGTCATCTTGATGTTGTTGGGAGATAGTTTTGGTGATTTTTAGAGGAGGGGTCGTAGAGGGAGAGTAGATGAGCGTGTAGGACCAGACGAGAGCAAACTTGGGTGGTAGATGGAGTACATATGTTAGAGAAGTTTCAAAGCAAGAGTGGATGTCTCCAATATTGATGCTGCCTCACTAGTTCTGAGCGAAATTCGATGAATTCTGTAACTACAAAGGAAATTAGCGGTCAACCCCCACCATTTTAGAAGTTGTGATCACCAGTCTTAGCTTAGCGGGGGAATAAAAGAGGAAGTCGAGCGGGGTCGAGACAGATGAGATTTTTGACACAAAGTTGACCTCTTGGGAGTTTTTGCCAGCAAATGAGCGAGCATATGAAATTGGCTCTAAGACTTGGAAACTCGATTAAATTCACTTGATATCTCAATTCACATGAAACTTGACTGAATTCACATGATATCTCAAATTGCGAGAAGAGTCTGCTCAATTTACTCTATACTCTTGAAATCATGTTTTTGTCCAACTAACTAAACCCCTAGTTGTTTGGATTAGAACCCTAGGTGGTTCTAGGATTCGAATCTAAGTAGTAATGAAATTGACTTTATCTTATAGGAATCCATTCTCTCTTGTGTTCATTAATGTTAAATATGATCTTAAGAAGTGTGTCTTAGGGTTAGAGAGTTGTTGGCCCAGGAATAGCCGATAAGGTTCCTTGAATACCAAATACAAAAGCTTGTAAGTTAATTAACAGTCCATCAATCCACAATTCAGAAATTAATGAGATTACAACATTAGGAGATTGCCTGCAGTTCATCTTAAAGAATTGAGATAAAGTAGTGTAACGGGTTGTTTGCTTCATGAATTTGAAAAATGAAGATTTTGGTAAACTTTGGGTTTTGTAAAACCACGGATATATGAAGGTTTTGGGTTCATTATGGACTTGTAAAACATCATTGTTTGTTTCATTGATTTCATGATGTATTTGGTTAATTAGATTTGTGTGCATGAAGTGAAAATGACCTACATTACTCTCATTGGTATGAGATGAGAAATATAAAAGAGGGGTAGTTTGGACATAAATGATGGACTTTAAAGTCCATGATCAAGTCCCACCTTAGGGCCCACGGATTTGGACCTCTAAAGTCCATGGGGCCTATAGATTTGTTGCCACAAACTACATGAAGCAAACAACGGATTTTGGACAAAATCCATGATAGATCCAAATCCATCATCAAATCCATCAAGCAAACAAGAACTTCAAAGAGGTATAAGTTTGGAATTCTTAGTATATTGGGCCAATTCTTTGATAAACTGGATTGTAGGTAAAATATCCATGGGCTTATTGTCCATATCATTTGTAATTCCATGGATTAGTGATATGAATTAACCTAAAAGTCTAACCCAACCCAAGAGTTCCTAAAGAAACTAGGGTTAGGTTAATCAAACCCCATATAAATATGGGGAGGGGTTTTCTATGGCACAATTCTTGCATCATATAAACTCCTTGATCACAAAGGTGCTTCCTCAAACAACCAAAGAAAGGAAAAGGCAAAATAGGGTTTTGGCTTTTGGAAGGAGGAAGAGAAGGCCTAAAAAGGAGTCAAGGTCTGTCCTCTCTCTCTCCATGATTGATACCTCTTTGAAGTTTGGAAGGAAAGACTACAAAAACTCGAGCCCCATAGAAAAAAAGAAGAAG